ACACAAACACACGGCGAGACAAGAACTAACAAGAGATTTGTCTCTTTTTATTTTGTGCTCCGATCTCGGGGCCCCCCTCTATAATTCCCCGTTTTCACCGAGCGGGCCGCGATTCCGATCAGCAGTTTGCTGATAAAGCGACAGCACCGACTGCATTACGTGTTTATGAATTGCTAATGGCGCCATTTATCATTCCGCGTGACACGATTTTACCATATTGAAAGTCACGGTTAGCGGTTTTACATTTAGAAGGTGAAAATTTAAGCGCGATCGACTGTATCGCGTGTCATTTTAATTTATGGGAGATTAATGCGGCAACGCTGCTCTCCTCCTCCGCACTCATCAGGAGCTACAAGTCACGGCTGAATAATCGTCATTCCCACGTTTGCCGCCGGAAACTCTGTGTTGGTTTTCGCGTGCAGTCGCATTTGGAGGATGTTTAAGCTTTCGAGTAGAGGTCACGAAAGGTCAGATACTGGTTCTGCTCGCTTCATCGACTTTGTGATCCAACAGGTGGCTGCTGTTGGGACTCAACAATGCATCTGTTTCAATACTATGAGCTGAAATGAAGTCCTGATGACCAAGACTTTTATTTTTTTTCCTGCGTCTCTGAGTGCTGCAAAGTAAAAGCGTTCTGACACCAAAGTAAACGATCCCCCATGAACACAGTTCGGGCAGATCGAACATAAAACGTGTGTGTCAAGAAGATTCAGGCCTGAAGTCGTTTTTTATTCATTTATATGAGTTTTGTGTGTGTTTGAGTTAAAACAAAAGGTCCAAAGGTAAAAAGCTGTACTTTAAATCATATTAATTACATTTTTGGTTACTTAAACCTTAAACATATTCTCCATCAATAGGAAACTGTGATATTTCATAATTTAGTATATTGAAGCTGTTTGCACAAAACATCCAAAATACTCCATTTGTCCTCCATCTTCACAAACATGAGGATCATGTGACCCGGTTCGACCCGTTAGCACTCCTCCTGCCTACATGTGAGCTGAGTTTTGAATGCCACCGGCCTTGTCTGAAAGCAAACTTTTGCAGTAATAATGACGGCAGCAGCTGCTGTAAGAGTTCCTGCGTAGTAATGTGAGCGCATACAAAACAGAATTCTAGCTCCTCACCTTCTCTGTTGTCTACAGGGTGACCATGTGCCATGAATTGCTAACAAAATGATCACAGGTTTGTTGAGGTTTTTGTTGTAGAAAAGACATTTTTAAAAAAAAGTAGGTTACTGCCTATGTGTGTGTGTGTGTGTTTTTTTTTTCTTTCCATTTTTTTATTCGAGGAAGAGTAAAAGGCAAACGATGTGGCACAAAGAAAAGCCGTCTTAAATAGTTAGCGGCTGCAACATCCCGTACCATAGCGGACATGACTTCTCTGTAAAATAACAACTTTCTATAACATACAAAACATTATAAATATATCACAGAAATAGTTTATGTAGAACGGATTCATCTGTGTGTATGACTGGCTAAACCCCCACCAAGCACCAAAACCACCTTTAAAATAAATCCTAGTTGCATGTAAAAAAAAAATCCACATAATACACAAATTAAACTTTGAAATGGCTCTAAAAAAACCCCTCTAAAACCTAAAAAAAAGATTGAGTTAAAATGTCTATAAGCATACCTAATGTGGAAAACAACAGGACACGACTAATTACTGTGTTAAACAAGCTCGCCCCAACGTTTCTGTTTGCTGATTCGTTTGTCAGCTAATTCAGTCGGGGCCCGTAGAAGAGTTTTCAAGTTCTCCCCATTTTGTCTCGGTTAACAAAGCTCCTTGTGAAGCTGAAGCTGAATGAAATGGGTCAGTCCAGCAGCGTATTTATAGCCCAGAACGCACTGCCGTCCATGTTCTTTCTCTGGGCGCAGCAAGAAGTGATGCAATGGAACACAAACTGCACTACAAGTGGCCGCTGAAGCGGTCCTACTGTAAGGCCACGGGTCAGCTCAGTCCAAGTCGCTGTCGGTTCGCTTTCGATCATCGCCGGAGCAGCAAAGACAAATCGACTCCAAAGACTCGCCTGTTTCACGTGTTTATACAGCTTGTGACACGAGAATAACCGATAATGAGCCGTTTCATCTGAATGAAGGAACCAATGGACGATCAAGTGAGAGTGGACAGGAATGTTTTAGTCCTGGAATTTGGCTGCTGACACAAATCTAAACAACTGTGTGTGTTGTTCATAAAACAGCAGTTCAACTGGATGAACGGAGGAGATCTATGCGTGGTAGCTTTGTGAGGACCTGAAGGGACATTTAAGACATTTTTAGGATGTGTGGTTGCTTTTGCAGAGTGATGACACTTTTGAATAATTGGTAGATTTTTAAGTAAGACAATTTTTTAAAACCTTTTCTTTAAGTTCAGATTTGTTGCAAAATCACCATAATGTACCGCCCTGGAAACCAAGCAGTGTCTCAAAAAATCTGCCACTCTGGCGACTGTTTTCAATCAGTGCTGCATTGATTTTATTGAGCACACATTTTAATTTGCTACGAGCCTCTTTAACTTGTTTTTAAACTCCTGTCTGCTCTGTCTACACACAGCCTGCAGTTCAAATGAAAACTCTCTGATTTATTGCCACATGACTGTTAGACTCCGCTGCTCATGGATAATCAGTTGTGCTTAGAAGTGCAAAAAAATGTTGCCTATTTGCAGAATCTGATGCAAACATTTTTTTTTTTTGGCAGTTTTGTAAATTAGACATGCCAATAAAAGGGGACAAAAAGGGAACAAACAGCACATCAGTCAGAAAGGTGAAAATCCAATTATTCTTTCTGTGTTTTTACAGGTTTGGTTGTAATAAATCCTGTAACTTTGGCAATTTAAAATAATAATAATAATAATAATAATAATAATAATAATAATAACAACAATAATAATAATAATAATAATGCCTTTCAAGCCTGCAAACAGGATTTGAGGTTATTTAACATTTAAAAAATTCAGAAATGGAGGTTTTGGGTTTTTTTTCACTTATTTTTAGAAGTGAGGAGATTTTCTGGAAGGTCAGGAGGATTTTTGAAACTAATGACAAGTTTGGAAAGTGAAAAGATTTCTGGGAAATAAGTGCTTATTTGTTTTTTTCCCCTTCCTGAAAAAAAACTTGGTTTAGAGTTAACATTATATTTACTTTAGAGTCCTCATTATGCAGTTAAAACATACACACATCTAAACGGCGTGGTGACCTACAGTTCTTGGTATACTGAGAACGTGTAATAAACAGAGTCCTTCTTCAGCTCATTAAATCCCAGGAACACGTGTCAGCCGTGTACCGGGCATCGACATTTCCATATCAAGTTAAATATTTTACTGCCAGGGCGCCACGTCGATTCTCGTAACAACCAGCGAGTCAATAAGTGAACATTTAGCTTTACTTTTTCATTCTTGGAAGGAGATGTGATCTTTCTCCTTGTTTTTCTCCTGGCGTCAGACTTCACGTATATCTGCTGCATCTTCTGGTTCAAGTCTATTAGCTGTATTCATAGTGAGTGTGTGTGTGTGTGTGTGTGTGTGTGTGTGTGCGTGTGCGTGTGTGTTCATTGGTATTGACTGTCAGTGCAGGAGTTATGGTGTGTCTGTGGGCTAAAGGCCGTCCTGGGGATTTGACATTACGCAGAGAGCATCTAATGAGCATGATGGGCTTAATAAGGTAAAGAAGTCAACTGTGCAAATACCACGGCCTCACTGTGAAATCAATGTGGCGCTCTCCAGGACACGGAGCTGGATAAGTGAATTAGTGCGTTAGTTTGAATAACTACTTTAAGAAACGAAATGTGTCTAATAACCAAAAATTCATTAAATTCACCGACTGTAAAAGTTCACTTTTAATTATTCACTTTTTAATTATATGAGATAAAACTAAATTAAATTAAATGAGGGTGAATTAATCTCATTTGAAGCTTTGGCGTGGACAGGTCCTGCCTTTCACCCGGTGGCTTCTAGAATAACCTAAAGAGACATAATGTCTGTAGCTGTGATCACTTTTAAAGATTTAAAATGTCCTCCAGTCCCAACACTTCTTATCTGGAGATGTTATCATGAACTGATTGGAAACGGGGTCACTGAAGCCTCCACAAGTTCTAAATGATTTGATTTGATTTCACATCATTGTCAGAATATTAGTTGTAACATGTCTGCTGATTCACTTAAATGATATTCCTGATACTGATCCCACACAATACCATTTTTCTAGATAATACACACTTCAATCAGGTGCAGTAGATTATCTGTAGTACCTGGCGTCTTATTGTTTAATGCTGTAGCCAATAGAGGAGGCAGTGGGACCACAGGCAGCTCCATGTTGGAAAGCAGAGAACATTAAGTGACTGTAACCAGTAAAGGGGCACCATGATAGAGTAATGGTGTCCAGTCAGATCCACACCAACCAGTTTGTAAAGATGTGCCTTGATTGGCCGAAATATTACATTAGACTTTACAAATAAGTTGCATCGCAGCACTGCCAGGCCGTAATAAATTGCTTTGGGACTGACTCTCAACAACTCAAAGAGGCAAATGTTAAATCCACTTCTTGCCTGTCAAAAGTTCTCTTTGGCATCACAGTGGGCTGTTCTCTCTAAAGCACCTATTTTAGGGTGGTCACTTGTATGTATGTGGCGATAAGAAACTACTGCACAGGTCTTAGCAATGATTGGTCCATTTTTCTGCTCTCTCAGTGCTCTTATCAAGTAGAGGTCGTCTCTTGTCAAACATTTTATGAGATAACATAACCAAACTCCATTGTTCAGATTGCTACCAGGTCGTGGAACTGGTGCCCAGTAACGTTTAGTTGATGTTGTTTTCGCAGCTATGTGTTGATGTCAAAGTTGCCGGATCCGACGACAGAAAGGCTCTAAGAGCCGATGACGGGCCTGTTCCTCGTACTGGTCCCAAGCTCCTGCAATGGAAAGCCACCAAATGTGATCACAGCTGTCTTCACGCTCTCTACTTCTACATCCATCTCTAACCAAATGTGCCCTTTTCTCTTCCAGCTTGGCAGCATCAAAAGAGGCTGCAGCGAGGAAAGCCGCCTCCCCGATGCCACCGTCCGAGTTTCTGGACAAACTCATGGGCAAAGTTTCGGGTTACGATGCCAGAATCCGACCAAATTTTAAAGGTAGGAGTTGCCACCAAGACTCAGTCGGATAAGACAGAAATGTAGCCAAACAATATTCCTGGAAAGACTTGTGTTGTTTCTGCATGTCATTACCTTCTGTAAATACCTTTTCTTAGCCAGGGTTAAGCCCAGATTGTCACCAAAACAAAAAAAAAAGGTTTGTATTTATTTGTTTTACTGATAAAAGAAGAAGAAGACGAAGAAGAAAAAGAATACATTGATATTGCTAAAATTCTGTTTAATCATCTCAATGTTTTTGGTTGTTCTCAATCTGTTGATCTCTTTTATTTGCCCTTTGCAGTGTACAACAAAGGTAATTCCGCCCATTGCTCAATTTAAGACACTAGAACTAGACGATTTCAGGTGTTAGATCCCAACCCCTTACCCCTTACCCCACCCTCTTTTTTTAACATAACCCCGTCCCTGCACTTTTAACCCCAATCAGATGGCAAAACATCCCCGTTAAGACATTTTAGGATCTGTGGTTATATGATGCTAGTTGGCTACATTCCTTGGTATCCACACAATATCCTGAGTGCTTGTTTTGGTGGTCAAGGTAATGTGCCTCTCTCTCTCCCGCGAGTGTGCTGCTGAATATGATTTCATGATGATGATAATATAATATTTAGTGACCTCTCCCTGAATGGAAGCCCCCATAAAGACACATGTCAGAGGTTTCTATATTAAACTTTCTCACATTAGGAACACGGTCTGGACATTAATGCGACATTAGTAGAACTGGGGCAACCCTCCATATTCATTAAAGTGTATGAATAATACAACAAGTTAAAAAAAAAAAAAGAAAAAAAGAAGATTATAGCAATTGGAAACAGACAGAAATTTCAGCGCACAGAGAAACAAAACTGGAATTGGTCTCACCTTGTGCTTTTCGGCATAGATTGTTACCGAATAATGGCGGAAAATGTGACACTTGAGCCTTGTTGCATGTTAAACAATGCCATAACTGAAGTTTACAAAGTGAATGTGAGTCATTTCTATTCTCTTATATTTAGTTTGTTGGGCAACTGTGTACAAAATGTTAGCACCCCTGTGATATTCCACCTTCCCCTGTATACATCTGCATATCATCTGTTCTTGAAGTACCAAAACCTGTGTAGACTTTTTAGACTATTGATTTGCTTGGGTTCTGTCAAAACGCTGCGACCCTCTTTACAATCTGGAGAGTAAAGCCTAGCATTACCCTGCTGTACGCATGTTAATTTGCTCTGGATATGAACATTGGTTCAATCAGTAAGAAGAGATACGCGTATTTTTGCCTTCAAGTTTGATCAAAGTCAGAGCAGTAGTATCTGCATCAGATTACATTCAGGTCATAATTTAGAAGTTTTCATTGATACGATTCATGTTGGTTTTACAGGAACCACAAAGGAAAAACATAGAGTTTCAAATTTTACAATTGTGACTTTTGGTTTCGCTAGTTTGGTTTGGCATTGATGATCCTCTTTATCTTCTCATTGGTCTGCTGGTCTGATTTTGGCGAAAACCAAATGGACACCAGTGAGGGTTAAACGTCACAGAGCCCCGCTAACGTCCCTGTGAACTTCACCCGCTGATACCAGTGAAACCTGAGGGATGACTTACTGTATCTCTTTACTGATCGAGCCAAGTGCATCATGTGAGGATGTGATGCCTTCTAGTCCGCATCTCTCCTTCATCTCTAAAGCAGATTTAACAGATGAAACCAACAGGTGTGCTAATATTTTGTACACTGACCACACAGGTACACCGAATGTGCACAAGTGAACTACGGCTTATTTTTTATGAATGCTGCCATGAAGCTTCCTTTCCTTTTTTTCTTTTTTTTTTTTTTTCACTTTTTGCTGAGCCCATAATGGTGTAATCCATTATACGGTGATATTTGTCGGTGGGATATCGTAGCTAATGCAAGACAGAATTGAGAGGAGCGGAGGGATTTTACCGTGACCAAGTGTGTATTATTAAACCTGCCGCGGCTGCAAAACAACCGAAACCGCTCGTCCCTCCTGACCTGCCGAGAATTCATGCGGGTGTTCGTCGGGAGTCGATTTTGGACACTATTTCAATTTTTTTCAATTTTTAATTTCTCCTCAGCTCTGGGTGGCAACAGCCCAGTGTGATTTACTGAGGCTAGTGCTGCAGTGACCTTTACAAATCAGGATTTAAGCAGGCGGATGTGGCAGTTATCTGAATTTATAGCTTTAATGTTTTTTTCGTTCTTCTAATGTGATGTAATAAAAAAAAGTTAAATGCAGATGAAAGTAGTGTCTGGCAGCGCGCTATGCATGCGTTGAATAATAACGATCCCACAGCTGACGTCAGCAAGCTTCCAAAAAACGACCACGTAGATGAGTTCACTTTAACGTTCTAAAGTCAAGTCTGTTCTTGTTTGTTTTGGTTTGGGTCTTTTGCCTAAATGTGTGCTAATGGGTGACGTGTGATAAAGATTCACATTCGGGGGGGATGAGCCTGTCTTTATATAATCTGCTCAGCTAATTGTGTCAGGGGCCATTGTTAGCAGACAGAGCCTGATGTGAATTTCCAGACTCTGTCATGGCTGTCAGGTCGACAGAGTGGCATAGCGTGAGCTCTCCGACTTGCTCATTCATGCAGTTTTTCTCTTTGTGTGTGTGTGTGTGTGTGTGTGTGTGTGTGTCCCCTACCAGCTAACTACACCACTGCATTAATCACGTCCATGAAATAAACAGCCTGACAGCTCTGCTCCTTAATAAACTCTGGGGGTAATGGGAACAAAAAAAAAAGTCTAGTTGCACAACAGGGGAGTCAGTAGGGAAGCGAGAGGAAGAACTCGAACAGTGCAACAGTTCATAGATGTATTTTAGTCATCCGTGATAATAACAATAGTAATAACAATACCGATATCAGGTCGAGGTTTAATTTAATGCTGAATGGTGCGTAGGAACCCGTTTTATTTGCTGTGTAATTAGTACAACAGTTAATCAAGTGACAGTAAAATTAAATAAAACCACACAGAAACCTGTTAAGCACCCCTGGGTGCTCCAGCACTATTCAGTCAATTAGCTGAAGGACCCCCGGTGTCCTGAAACCCTGTCTTCACAGCCTAGTTTGGTACAATCACAATTAAAAAACTGTCTTTAACAGTGATAGGACATGGAAGTGTTAGAACTGTTTAAGAACACTGAAATGGCAAATTGTTTTTTTCCTTCTAAAAAGTTTGAATGTTTTCCAGTCATCCCAGAGAACGACAGTTTGATATGCTGGGGTTTGCTCACAGTCCTTGTTCACTCTTGTTATTCCAGAACAGATTAAAATATCAGAACTACTGCTAATACAAACACAGGTCAGTTCTAATCAGCTGTCAGACAAACCGTTTCTCTTGTGGGTGAAGCCCCTTTCAGACGTGCGCTCCTTTCTGTTAATGTGACGGTACTGTTGCGTCCGACGTGTCCTGTATTGAGCTTCACAGCCAGCTCAACTCTCTTTTGCATCACTTCCTCCGAGGAACAGGCACGTGTTGTATTTGGACAGGATTTAATGCAAAAAAGTGTGAAACTGTAGTGATACAAAATATAGAACAATACTCAGTATACAAACCAAAATATGCCCACTTCAATCAAATCATCATTTACTCGTATGTACAAGGTGCATTCAAAGGCTGACTTAAACTCAGCAGTCATATTACATGAACTCAGATTGGACTTCACTATACGAACACACAGCGAATCAAACATCTCAAACTTACATACTATCAATCTAACAACAACTCAGAAACGTACTCACATTACCACTCAAAGGGATAGAAAAGAGTGGACGGCACTTGATTAGGAAAGAAACACCATGGCTCGCCTTATGCAAAGATTAACACTTCCTGTTACGTTTCTTCTATATACTGATTGGCAAACAGCGAACTGTGCAAAACCTGCACCCCCTATAGGCCTGGAGAAACGACAACATAAAAACAGATCCAGTACAGTGACGACGTCTGAATGTAATAATAATAGTAATAATCATAATTACAATAATTATAATAATAATGCTTTTATAGTGCTTTTTAAGATACTCAAAGACGCTTCACAAAGTAGAATGTGTTGGCTTTGTGTCTGAATAAACATGCTGCTCACCTTTTCTGTAAAAGCTGTGATAGAAATCTTCCTCAGTCGGAACATTTTCAACACAGAACAAATCTGTTACATGAACAGATGAACAAGCAGGTCGTTTTCACATTTCAGCATTCACACAGGTCTAAAACTGTCATAGAAAGCAAAACACCGTCTTGTTCACTTTGCTCTACACTTTTACATCCAGTACAAATTGAAACGTCTACAAATATTAAAACTTCACTGCAGCTCAGATAAGCAAGATTCACCAGTAATGAATGTCATCTGTTTTGTGATAAAGCCTTAAATGGACCAAATGTTTAGTCTGTTGCTTCCAGTTGTTTGTAAGAGTCTTTTAAGGAGGCAATAGAGAGCAGCAAGATCCACATAAACATCTCCAAAGCAGGAGAGCTGTATGCATTTACACACATGTAACAACAGCATGAACTACACCAATTACTTTGATTTTAACTAATCCCCGACATGAAGACAGGATCAGTCAGGATTAACGGTAAATAACACTGTGTACTTTACTTTAAACAGAGTCACAGTTTATCAGCTGCAGTTAAATCAAATGTGTTGTTTTTGTTAATGTATTATTGTCCAATCTCATGTGAATATCACTCCATGGCTTCTGCCGTCCCTGTGGTGGGGTTGTCTGAATGAAGCCGTGAAGAAAATTAACATTAAAGTGACCTTTGACTAAAGGACAGACTGCCGTCACTTTAACAGATTGATGAAGCAGCAGTGCTGCTTGTCTGAGAGGGCTTCAGTTTCCAACACGGCCAATAAACTAACGAGCTAATGAGTCTGTGAGCGACATCAGCGTCTACAAGCCACAAAAACATGATGAAATGGATAAAGAAATAGAAGAAAATATATTCAAATTTAACAACATGCAAACAATAAATTAATGAAAAAGTAAAATATGTTTATTAAACAGTCTGAAGAGGTTTTAAAGATTAAATGTAAAGAGAAAAGCCCACCTCGTTTACAGTTCATGTGTCTACAATGGTGGATTAGGGAAATAGTTTTTGGGCCACAGGAAATTATTTTGTTGTAAAACTAAAGGTGACCACAGGAAAAAAACTAGTGAGCAGTGGCGCCATGTCCAACGTTCATGATACGTCCATTCTAACCCGACAAAGTTAAGACTTGATTATTAGTCCTTGGGTTCTCTTTCCAGTCCACCCACAACCTGGTTTGTGTGTTCCCCAGTTTGTTTACTGGTTTGTTA